CTACACAACTGAAGAAATACTCAGTTCACCAATCTGAAATCAAATAACTTAACATTCATGCATCATATTTAGGCATTTGCAAAAATAGGTGCATTTTCATTCATTTTATCCATGTTGAATTTTGACAGGAATTTCAAAGATTTTAGCAAAGATTAAAATCCATCATTCGGTGGATCAACATTTCCAGTTCGAGTTCATAATGAGAAGAACTCATCTGAATAAGGAAGAAGAAGTTCATAATGAGAAGAATTTGTTCAACCTTTTGCTCGAATTCATCACTTGATGGATCAGCTTTTCCAGAGAAAGTTCATAATGAGAAGAACTCATCTGAAGAAGGAAGAAGAAGTTCATAATGAGAAGAATTTGTTCAACCTTTTGTTTGAATTCATCGTTTGATGGATCAACATTGCCAGGTAGAGTTCATAATGAGAAGAACTCATCATCTGAAGAAGAAGAAATTGTTCAAATTTTTGCTTAAATTCATCACTCGGTGAATCAACATTTCCAGTTCGAGTTCATAATAAGAAGAACTCTTCTGAAGAAAGAAGAAGAAGTTCATAATGAGAAGAACTTGTTTAACTTTTGGCTTGAATTCATGATCAATATTACCAGTTCAAGTTTATAATAAGAAGAACTCATCTGAAGAAGGAAGAAGAAGTTCATAATGAGAAGAATTTGTTCAACCTTTTGTTTAAATTCATCATTTGATGGATCAACATTGCCAGGTAGAGTTCATAATGAGAAGAACTCGTCATCTGGAGAAGAATTTATTCAACTTTTTGCATAATTCTATCACAAAAGGAGATAGATCAGCATCAACCTTTCTAGAAAAAGTTCATAATAAGAAGAACTCATCTGAAGAAGAAAGAAGAAGTTCATAATGAGAATAGCTTATTCAACCTTTTGGATGACTCTATCACAGAAGGAAATAGGTCAACATCATCCCCAGCGGAAAGTTCGTAATGAGAAGAACTCATCTGAAGAAAGAGAAGAATTTATTAAACATCTCTATATTAATCAAGTGAAGTCAAATGAAAAAAAAACTTATTATCTTTTCGTCTTTGCTCTATTCTTGTTAACACAAGAAATAAGCAAAGAGGGGCAGCTGAAGATACTCATTTTTTTCTTCATTTTTTTATTTAAATATTATTTATATTATTATTATAAATATTATTATTTATATTATTTATATTATTATTACAAACATGCCCATATTGTCTGGCCCAATTACAAATCCAGATTGCCTAACTAAACCCTAAAACCATATTAGGGTTTGATCTAACCCTAGCCGCCTCATCATCTCAGCCGTTGGATCTGAGAGATCCAACGGCCCACACTCATCCAGCACAAACCCTAGGGTGATGATACCCTAGGGCCACGCGGCCGCCGCAGCTACTCCCACCATCTCCACCGCTGCCACGTCTCGTCGGAAGCTTCCAGAAGAACCACGTCCCAGCCGCACACATGTCGCCCCAACGGTGAGTCACCACTGGAAGTCCGGTGACTCACCGAACTTCACCTTTAGGACCGGTCCGAGACGAGCGCCGGTGATGGCTATAAGGCCATCACCCAACCTGCAAAGAAAAAAACCCCCAACAGAACAGAAAAAAAGAGTGGCAACCAACAGAGAAGGAGCAACCAACAGCAAAATCAAAGCATAACAAACCCTCAACACAGCAACCAGAAACAAAAGAAAAGAAAGGAGAGAAGCTTACCGAGGAAGCCACGACCGTCGGACCCCTCCAAACATCACCAAAAACCTTCGAAAACCAAAGGTATTTTCCTAGATTTGCTCCGATCGGGAGCTATTTAAAAGAAAAGAACACCGGAACCGTCATTAGGACGGTCCGATCTACGTTGTGGTATAAAAAAAATTTCCGGCCACCAGATTCGGTGGCCGAAAGTGAGAATTACGGCGGCAGACGGCTGCCGCCTGGTGACCGGCTTCCCTCCGATGAGGGAAGCTAGAGAGAAGGGAGAGCGTTTTTCATTCTCTCTCAGTTAGAGAGAGAATGATAAAGGGAGAAATGAGAGAGCTGGCCCGAAGGGCCAGCCGTTTCTGGCTTTAAATAGCCCTTCCCGAACGACGTTGTTTTGGGAAGGGCTATTTGTGTAATTTTTAATTGTTAAACCCCGTCCGTAGTCCCTCTATCTTATATGTTTTACATTTTAGTCACTGATTCAAATTTTTGATCCTTTTAATTTGGTTTCTACATTTTATTTATTTATATTTTAGCCCTTAACCGTAATATTAAATATTTTAGATAAAATACGTATTTAGTCCATTAATTTTAATAATTAATATTTTAATCCCAAAGTATATATTTTTAATTTATTTTAATTTGATATTCGAATTTTATATAATTTTATTTTAGTCACCAGATTAATAAATAAGGAAAATAGCATGTTTAATCCCTGTATTTTTAAATAATTAATTATAAATTAGGTATTTAATTTTATTAGATTATAATTTAGTCACTAATTTTAAATATTTTCATTTATTATAAAGTTTTACTGTTTTTAAATATATAGTTCTAATTTTATTTTTATTATTGTTTATTTATGTTTTAATTTTACTTGTTTATATTTAAATATTATTTCTATTTATTATATTTTAATATATATTTATTTTTCAATATCAAAGAAAAGGGCAGTCTTAATACAACTGGATGTCCTATTATGATATTTTAAAATTAAATATTATGATAAAAAATTTATAATTTAATTATAATATTTATTAATATTAAAGAAAAGAGTTGTCTTAAGGCACCTAAAAGTCCTTTTATGATATTTCTAAATAAGTAAATATCTTATTTGTGTTTAATATATTTTCTTAAAAATATTTAAATTAAATAGGATTATAAATTAAATATAATTTGAATTTTTAAATTTCTAATAATAGAGACAATTTATAATTAAAAAATACCAATTTTGGGCGTTGTAGGGGTGATAATTATTCCCTACACGTAACCGACCACGAATCACTTTTTATCATTAAAAACAATGAATTTTTGGTTAAAATGCAGATCAGTTTATCTTTTAACTGATGTTTTCTTAAATACTCTTTTAAAGGATGATTTTTAGGTATTCGACCTACCTGACCCAAAAGGCCGATGACGACTCCCAAATTATTTTAAAAATCATTTATTCACATCACTTTTCACGTCAAGTAAAAAATTCGTGCCCGGACAAAAACCGGTTACGACAGCTACAAAAGTGGTGCCTCGCTTTCCCTCCGACCCCGAAGTCCCCGGGAGGAAAAACAAACATGAGCAGAAGCAGCAACTTGAAAATGCCGTCGTGGCATTTCTTGTTCCGCTCCCTTCAATTCTGTTCTATCTTTATTTCCTTAGTCATCTCCAGAGCAACAGTGCTCACCTTTCTCCTCTGTGGTCGTGATGTTTCCATCACCCTCTTCTGTTAGCCAATGTCTTCTTCAATGTCAATGTCCTTTTCTGGCTCATTGGTTTCATCCAATCCAGCAACTGGGTCAGTGCCTTTCTTTTATTACTTGTAATTATTTAAATTCTACTCCTCCTTATTGCCTTCTTTTGGTTGGTTTCAGATGATTGATCTGTATTGGACGGTGATACCGGTGTTGTTACTTCATTACTATGCAATCCACCCTTTGGCTCAATTTGATCGGTGGTGGACAATGATCGTTACAGTGTTGACTTGGGTCTGGAGTATTAGGCTGGCCCATAGCTATTTCAGGCGAGAAAAATGACAGTGGGGTGCCAGAGAAGACTGGTGGTTCGCTGATATGCGCTTACAATACGGCAAGCATTGGTGGTGGATTTCCTTCTTCTCTGTTTACGTTTCGCAATGATTCTCCAGATATTTTGTATTATACGATTTGGTTCTTTCTCTAATAACAAATAAAAATTTGATCCTTAAGTAGAAGAAAGCAAACACCATTACATTAATAAAAAGCTGATGAGAGAACATGAACTAAACTAACTGGTGTTTCAACTATGCAGATACTTCTGATTGGGATATGTCTTCCGCTGTATGTCGTCCACTTGGTAGATAAGCCCTTGAATATCTGGGATTTTGTTGCCACTGGAGTTTGTTTGTGTGGTTTGTCATAGCATGCTTTGCAGATATGCCAACTGCATAATTTTGTGACTAGAAATACCAAGCTAAAAGTGCTCGGAAAACCTATGGTCCCGAACCTCAACCGTGGCTTGTGGCGGTGCTCGCGGCATCCAAACTACTTTGGGGAACAACTATGGTGGTGGGGGCTGGCTGTATTTTCATGGAACTTGGGTCATGGATGGACCTACGTGGGATGTTTGATCAATAGTATGTGCTTAGCTTATGTTACTTTCCTTGTGGGGCAGCGGATGTTGAAGCAGGAGTACAGAACTGAAGCATACAGGTTATACCAAAAGACAGCCTCGGTGTGGGTACCATGGTTCAAATCTTCTGCTATAACAGTGAAGGATAAGGATACTTGATCTAATATTTTGTTATTCTGCCAGTACTTTCAAAAGGAAAGAAAAACCCATCTCCAATCCTTTATTGTTTTTAGTTTCTCTCACGGAGAATGTAATCAAGTTGCTCAGGCATTGGTTGAGTTCAATCCTATGGGTTTTTTCTTCAATAGAAATAGATGCAAGCCCTGATGAAATGGGCTTGGGCTTATTCTGGAAACGGGAATTGATCTACAAAAGAAATTGAATTAAATACCTTAACAAGGAATAAATAAATTTAATTGAAAAGAAAGTCAGGTTAGTTAGTTGAACGACGTTTGCCTGGTGAAGAAGAATTGTCACAGTGGTAGCCCTCGCAAAAAGGTTGGGTTAGGGTTCCAGAATCAATTGCAAGAATCCTTTCAATTGTAAAACATATGCCGGGGTTCACGGCAATTCAGCTCAATTTCTTAATCGTCCTCCTCCTATCTTCTGTTTACGGACGCCGATCGTGCAATCATTGCCGGATAGTTCAGGATCTATCCGGTTACCTTCCGAAGGCTTCACCAACGCCGATGAGAATGAAGGCGTCTGCGCAGGATTCACCAAGCCGGCATCGTGCCGGTCAATTGCTTCCGAACGGAGCCCGTGTGCGGCGTCGATGGCGTCACCTACTGGTGCGGTTGCGCCGATGCGTTGTGCGCCGGTACCCGCGTGGCGAAAGTAGGATTTTGCGAGGTTGGGAATGGAGGTAGCGCCTCGTTTCCTGGTCAAGCTCTGCTTTTGGTTCATATTGTTTGGCTCGTCTTGCTTGGATTTTCTGTATTGTGTGGTCTTCTCTAATCATTCAAATCAGAGACATTTTATGTTTCCTCTCGGATGCGATCTGTATTTCTTACGTCTTCCACTCGTTTTCCTTATATGTATTACTGCAACCTAAATTCTTGGGACTAACAAACCAATTTGGTTTTCCTTATTTTTCTTGATAAATAGATTTCTTTTTTGTACATGCTTTATTTTGATTAATCTGGAAAACTTCCTTGTAAGATCATCTTGATCATTGATCTGGAAAACAACCACAACTTGCAGCCTAAACTCGGCGGTTTTCCCTTACCATAATTATAGTAATGCTCATTGCTTGGAAATTCATGAACGCGGTAAGCCTGCTTCTTCAGCTTCTCTGTCGAATCTCACATTCATTGGTGTTAAGGTTCCGTTCTGCCATATTTTTCATTTCAAAAAAGTCTCTCTGAAAAGTATGCTTGAGAATTTTCTTTTAGGCTAAAGCCTAAAATAATGTAGAACAAATAATTTTTTAGGGTCGTGATTTTCAGCTTAATTTGAAAAGCATATTTTTAAAAGCTTCGCCACTAAATTATGAATTTATTTATGTTTCAACATAAATTTAACATGTAAAATTGTTAAATTACAGTTAAATGTTTTTCCCACTTAATTTAGAAATAAGAGAACGATTAAATAATTGTTCATATATTTTATAAAATTAATATTAAATCATTCTAAAAATTAAATTTATAATATGTTCTAAATTTTAAATTATTTTGAAAAATAAATATTATAAAAATTTACATTCTAATCTATCAAATATGGTTTATAAAATATATAAATGATTATTTAATTATTTTCTTAATTTTAAATGAAGTGAACAAATTGTTTATCTTTAATTTAATTATTTTTTAACTAATTATAAATTTTGGTGAAACAATAAATTTTTAGCCTAGTTAACGTCTAAATTTTTCAATACATTTATTAAGTGTTCCGGGTTTAAATCTAAGCTTTAGTTAGGATTTGCACGGGATCCGAATTCGACCCGATCGTGTAGATTTTTTTTAAAATTAGGTTCAGGTCGGGTGATTTCGGTTTTAGGATGAAAAATACTTGATATAACTCAACAAGAAAATAATTTAAATTTATCTTATATTTAAGGATAATTGTAATAATAACCCTTTATATATTATTTTTTCAATTAGATCTCTATTTTTAGGGTTGTAAAATCGGGTAATCGTTCAGGTTTCAGTAGGATCCTGGCAGGTCGGGTAAAATCGGATACAGGTAAAGTCAGGTAAATTTGATGCTTCGACTCGGATCAGGTCGGATCCAGGTCAAATCAAGTCGGGTCATTTTCAGGTTGATTTGACACCAGATACAGTTCGGGTTCAGGTCGGGTTACTTTCAGTTCGGATCGTTGCCAGTTCAGGTCCAAAGCAGTTAAAAAGAAGGTTAATTCAGGTTCGGATAGACTTCAGGCGGATCTCGTTCATATCGGGTCACATCATTGGCAGATAAATTTCAGGTCGGATCTCTATCAGATACAGATTGAGTTCAAATCGGGTTAATTTTTATTTTTGGATTAATTATTTTCTTCTTTCGCGAACGTTGAATTGCAATTTGTAATTGTGTATGATTTAAAGTAAATTACTAAGAATATAAATAATCATGATTCAATTTTATGAAAAATACAAATTTAAGAATTAAATTGAACAAATATGAAATTATAAATAAAAATTTAAATAAATTAAACAACACATTGATGAGGGATCAAATCAAAATAATTTTAAATTGTGAGGTTGAAATTAATACAAAAAGGTACTAAATTATACCCATTTAAAAAAGTTATGGGCCAATTAAAAAATAGAATTAAGTAATAAGTAATAAGTATGAATCAATTTCATATGCAAATAAAATTTGGAGAACTAAATTGAACAAATATGAAATTAGAAATACAAATTTAAATAAATTAAACAACACACATTGATGAGGGATCAAATCGAAATAATTTTAAATTGTGATGTTGAAATTAATACAAAAAAGTAATAAACTATACCCATTTAAAAATTTATGGGCCAATTTAAAAATAAAAATAAGTAATGAGTATGGGTCAATTTCAGAAATAAAATTTGGAGGACTAAAATGAACAAATATGAAATTACAAATAAAAATTTAAATAAATTAAAAAAACACAAAAGGGATCAAATCGAAATAATTTTAAATTTTAAGGTTGAAATTAATACAAAAATGTACTAAATTATACTCATTTAAAAAGTTATGGGCCAATTAACAAATAGAAATAAGTAATAAGTATGGGTCAATTTCAGATGCAAATAAAATGTGGAGGACTAAATTGAACAAATATGAAATTATAAATAAAATTTTAAATAAATTAAACAACACAAAAGGGATCAAATGTGAAAAAAATTGTAAAATGGACTAAATTACATTCATTTTAAAAGTTAAGAAAAAAATTAAAACAACTAATATATATATATATATATAAACCATATAGTATATATGGTTTGGGGTTTAGGATTTAGAGATCAAGGTTTAGAATTTAAGGATTATGGTTTATTGTTTATGTTTATGTTTATGTTTATGTTTATGTTTAGTTTATGTTTATGTTTATGTTTATGTTATGTTTATGTTTATGTTTATGTTTATGTTTATGTTTATGTTTATGTTTATGTTTATGTTTATGTTTATGTTTATGTTTATGTTTATGTTTATGTTTATGTTTATGTTTATGTTTATGTTTATGTTTATGTTTTATGTTTATGTTTATGTTTATGTTTATGTTTATGTTTATGTTTATGTTTATGTTTATGTTTATGTTTATGTTTATGTTTATGTTTATGTTTATGTTTATGTTTATGTTTATGTTTATGTTTATGTTTATGTTTATGTTATGTTATGTTTATGTTTATGTTTATGTTTGTTTATGTTATGTTTATGTTTATGTTTGTTATGTTTATGTTTATGTTTATGTTTTGTTTATGTTTATGTTATGTTTATGTTTATGTTTATGTTTATGTTTATGTTTATGTTTATGTTATGTTTATGTTTTGTTATGTTTATGTTATGTTTATGTTTATGTTTATGTTTATGTTTATGTTTATGTTTATGTTTATGTTTATGTTTATGTTTATGTTTATGTTTATGTTTATGTTTATGTTATGTTTATGTTTATGTTTATGTTTATGTTTATGTTTATGTTTATGTTTATGTTTATGTTTATGTTTATGTTTATGTTTATGTTTATGTTTATGTTTATGTTTATGTTTATGTTTATGTTTATGTTTATGTTTATGTTTATGTTATGTTTGTTTATGTTTATGTTTATGTTTATGTTTATGTTTATGTTTATGTTTATGTTATGTTTATGTTTGTTTATGTTTATGTTTATGTTTATGTTTATGTTTATTTGTTATGTTTATGTTTATGTTTATGTTTATGTTTTGTTTATGTTTATGTTTATGTTTGTTATGTTTATGTTTATGTTTATGTTTATGTTTATGTTATGTTTATGTTTATGTTTATGTTTATGTTTATGTTTATGTTTATGTTTATGTTTATGTTTATGTTATGTTTATGTTTATGTTTATGTTTATGTTTATGTTTATGTTTATGTTTATGTTTATGTTATGTTTATGTTTATGTTATGTTTATGTTTATGTTTATGTTTATGTTTATGTTTATGTTTATGTTTATGTTTATGTTTATGTTTATGTTTATGTTTATGTTTATGTTTATGTTTATGTTATGTTTTTATGTTTATGTTATGTTTATGTTTATGTTTATGTTTATGTTTATGTTTATGTTTATGTTTATGTTTATGTTTATGTTTATGTTTATGTTTATGTTTATGTTTATGTTTATGTTTATGTTTGTTTATGTTTATGTTATGTTATGTTTATGTTTATGTTTATGTTTGTTTATGTTTATGTTATGTTTATGTTTGTTTATGTTTATGTTTATGTTTATGTTTATGTTTATGTTTATGTTTATGTTTATGTTTATGTTTATGTTATGTTTATGTTTATGTTTATGTTATGTTTATGTTTATGTTTATGTTTATGTTTATGTTTATGTTTATGTTTATGTTTATGTTTATGTTTATGTTTATGTTTATGTTTATGTTTATGTTTATGTTTATGTTTATGTTTATGTTTATGTTTATGTTTTGTTATGTTTATGTTTATGTTTATGTTTATGTTATGTTTATGTTTATGTTTATGTTTATGTTTATGTTTATGTTTATGTTTATGTTTATGTTTGTTATGTTTATGTTTATGTTATGTTTATGTTTATGTTTATGTTATGTTTATGTTTGTTTATGTTTGTTTATGTTTATGTTTATGTTATGTTTATGTTTATGTTTGTTTATGTTTATGTTTATGTTTATGTTTATGTTTATGTTTATGTTTATGTTTATGTTTATGTTTATGTTTATATACTATATATATGAACTATAGTTTACATATGAACTATATATATACTAAAGTTGATATTTATATATGAACTATAGTTTATATATGAACTATATATATAAACTATATAGTTTACATATGACCTATATATATATACTATAGTTGATATTTATATACTATATAGTTTACATATGAACTATATATATATACTATAGTTTATATTTATATACTATATGTAGACACCCGTTTTGTCCGAAAAATAAAAAATTATATTATAATAATTATTATTATAAATTATAATTATTATTAGTATTAATATTGTGTATGTTTTTATTTCTCTAGCAGGCTTCACTACAAGCCCAAATCAGTTTACAAATAATCGAGCCCCAAATTACAAACAAAACAACCCGATCCAAACCCATTACAAGTGACCCGGTTACAAGACCCGTTTTGAAGCATCCCAACCGAGTGCCCCCACGTGAAGCCCCTTGGGGCTGTCGCCCGCACCATGCTAGCACTCTGACCGAGCAGTTCGGTTCCCCATCACCCACGCCCTGTCTGCTCCCCGCGTGCCTTGCTCCACGTGAACTATGCATGTGTGTTTATGAGCCTAAGAGACCTCCCACCTTATACTTAGAGTATAATATAAATTAATTAACTA